TTATTTTTTGAATATATATCTTTTTTATCATATCTAGATTATCATATTACTTCTGAAATATTTTATAAAAAATAATGAATATCATATATATTGAATTTTAATTTTAATCGATTTCTTTTGCTTTCGATTTAGAGCTAATTTTATCGAGTTTTTAATATGAATTCAATTATTTTGATATATTTCTTTATTTATTAATTTTTATAATCATAATAATAACAATACTAATATTATTAATTTTATTAAGAATATTAATGGAAATAAAATTAATTATTATAGAGACAATAGCGACAATAAAAGCGATAATAATATCAATAGAATCATCAGATTATTAGGCACCCAAGCGGAAGAATAAAAATAAATAAGAATTAGAATAGAAATTAAGAACAAGCGTAATCCTAATATTTTTTAAAGAAAATATATTTTATCTTTATTTTATCGAAATTATAAAATTATTTCTATATTTATTTAATAAAGAAACTATATTTTGTTCAAAATAAATATTTTCGAGTTTTTAACTAAGAAATAAAAGAATTTCTTAATATATTTTCTTTATTTAATGATTTTTATAATAGTAATAATAATAATATTTATATGAATATAATAATAATAATTATTATTATAGAAAGAATAGATTATTAAATAAACAAACAAACAAATAAAAATAAATATGAGAATAGGAATCAAGATAAATATACGACTCAAATTATGAATAAGTATAATTATAACGCAATTTCCATCATGTCTAAATTATATATTTTTATATTTTTAAACTACAGAAAGAATAATATCAAAACGATTAAATTTTAATATTAATCTATTATTTTTTTATATGGTTAAGCGAGTCGCGACAGGGTCTAAGAGATATTCCAATAAATTCAGATCCTCTCTTAATATTATCGAGGTTTTTATTCATAAAGAATTTTATATATTTCTTCATCTATTAATTTTTATAGTAGTAGTAATAATAATAGATTTAGTAGAATTTTAGCAATAGCAGTAGAAGTCGTAGAAATAATATCGGTAGTGGTAGTGGTAGTAATGCCAGCGAATCCGGCAAATGGCTGGATATTTGGGCGGGCGGGTAAAGATAAGCATGAGAGCACGAGTTAGAGTAAATGTCCTAACAGGACTTAAGAGCAAGTGTTATCGTGGCATAGTTTCTATCATACCGCCTTGAATATGGCAGCAAAACAATACAGGTCTTGCCGAACTCCTTGCCCGAGGGGGACTCCTTGCCCGAGGGGGACGAAACTTTTCGCTGCAAATGGCCCGCCCGATATCGCCCGATGGCAGGATGCCCGAGAAAGGCACTAATGTTTGCCGTCTCGCGATACCAGGGCTGTCATTGACTGCCTCATTCCTGTTGTTTGATTTTGGTTTTTTGGACTGTTGAATCCCAACCAAAAATGGCTTGCGGTCGAGCGCGCTGGCATTGGAGGTGGACGATGCTGCCGTCAACCTAGATACTACGAGTACCTCGTTCAACACGGGCTTGGTTTTGTAAGGTGGGTGTTTCATCTCCGCTTTCGCCAGATCTTTCGCCAGCTCTGGGGCTCAGTTCGCCCTCCAGTTCGGAAGGACCTCCGCAGCAAGTGCTGCATGGCAAGAGCCACAGCCTTGACTGCCGCAGCAGGCGACGTTGCCCTTCTCAGAGTCTCATCTTGGGAGGTGGAGCCGATAAAACGGCCCTGACAACAGGTTTGAGAATGCAAGCGCAACTGCCGAAACAATAATCTTGCAATGGCGTTCACTTCGTCGTGTCCACAAACTAAAGCTCGGGAAACCTTTTTCGTGCGAGCTGGTTCTTCCACATCATGAAGGCCCCGGCGGCCTGATTTCATCCTTTTGAAAACTACTTCAGACTCTTCTTGCTTAGTCAACCTTCCGACGACTTCATCGGTAGAGGCGCAAAGGCAGAGTAAAAGGTTCAAACGAATGGCATAGCCCAGTGCGCTGACTGACAGCCAGCAGCTTATCAATGCTTATCATCAACAAAATATCCGTCCCGAATGTCAAATCATCTGAAGGCTATGCCACACAATTGCTTAGACCGCTTTCGATTTGAAAGGGTGTCAAAGAGTGTCTCTCCACTGAGACTGGCAAGATTTCTGGCATACAGTACCAGGTCTCAGATAAAGTAGCAATACAAGATCAAGGCAAGCAGCCCCCTCTAGTATGATATACATAAGGCCTTGCTGACCTTGTCAGATCACCACTTTCTGCGATAGGTGGGTCGTCTATGGGGCTGCGCGCCGGCTTGCGGCCTCAGGCCCATGGTTCGCGTGCCTATCACGAGAAGGACCTGAACAGGGCAAAAGATGCTCCGCCAGAAGCTGACGCTCTCGAGCAGGGGGCTTTTCCCTTGGATGCTCAGGCCCTGGCGTCGTGTTGACGGCGCGGTGGAGGAGCGAGAGTGCACCTGCGCTTTCAATATCTTGTCCCTTGCCATGTGGAAATCGTCGTGGCGACTCGTGCGCTCTGTACACTTCATGTCCAAGAGGCCTGAGGCGAAGTTCCTGAGATGCTCAAACGCTGTTATTTACACACCGCTAACCGCCTGCAAAGCAGCTTCAGCGACTCCGAAAAGGCTCTCGTCTTCTCTCCTGATGATGTAATATAGGATGCCGATCGAGCTTCGTGGAGCGGCGCGAGCAGAAGTTAGTGTGCCAGCTGCTGAGATGGGCCTCACTAGACCTCGAGGTTGATTTCAGTTCAAGAACTACACATGTCATGCTGCAAGTGAAGCATCCGACGTCGTCGGCACAACAACACACATCCGACCTGCTGCTAAGAGCCGTCTTGAGCTGCGGACCATGACCTGATCCTGCATTCCTGTGCGGACAAGGCTGATTCAAGGAGGCCAACATCCATCTGCGAGTCCGAGGACTAGGCCCCGGATCGTCTGCTTTGGAGCACTTGGACATGTCACCCTTTGTCCTCTGACGCTGCAGTTCTTCCCGTTGCACGGCAAAGACATGGCACGTCCTGCTCTCCGACAAACACTTTGGCGCCGCTTTGGTTGGCCTGATGTACGAAGAGGCACTGAGGCCTAGGACTCGGAAATTGCATATGCCGCATATGCTAGCCGCGTGGGGCACTTTGATTCGATACCACCTGGAGCTTTCACTACCGAGCGCGGCCGGCCATGATCGCAGCTTGTTCGCCGGCATTTAGCACAGCACTTTACTTGCGGGCAACCAATACGTATCTCCGCTTATCTCAGATTGTGTACGTGGAGGATACAGCTACGAGTAACATCTAGAAAGAGTCGTTTCAGGTTCCGTTGGACTCGACCGGGCTCACAAGCTCGAACATTGTCGTATCGGCAGGTGGGTCATTACCTGCATGCCACAATGCAGCGGCTTTCGCATCTGCCAGAAACTTTGCATTCGTATGAACCCTTGCCCTGCTGGGAGTAAGGCACACCAACGAAGGAGCCCACGCGGGAAGGCGACAAATGGTCCTGGCGCTCTGCACACTCCGACCCAGCAGCTCAATCAACATAAAGCGCAGCTACTGCATCATCAACAGACCACAGGAAGTCTTCAGTCTGAACCTCCTGGAGCGTCGAAAGCCGCTGGCCTCATGACATCACTGACCATGTCCCTGGTCTCAGCCACATGTCTCAGTACTACTTTGTAAGAGAACTGAGCAGAAGCAGGCTCGCCACTTGCATGCAAAAGATTGACAGGAACCAGCTTGGCGTCCGTCTCTTGAGCCCCCGGCGTTGCAGAACGCTTGAGGGCATCGCAAGTTTCTGAGAAAGCCTCGCGTTCGCTGCCTGCCCCTGTCGAGCACGGTGTGTTTCTTGGTGCTCTCTGTCGCTGTTCATACTCCTGTGAAGCTCCGGCACCTGGTCAATAAAATGCATCGAGGCCAAGGAGTCAGTGCCACGGAAACTGGCGCGAAAAGCAGGCACTCTTCGAATGCAACAGATTGTGCAGCTCTGGTAACAAGCCGGGTTCGCTGAACACAATGTTGCCTGAGCCAAGACAAGAGACACCCCCCTTGTCTCATGCGCATGCCAACACTAAGACCATGTCATGGAATACTTGGTTTGTCAGTAATGTGACCGTAGGAGCTTTGACAGCTGCAAGCCTCTAGGGTTTTCTGCAGAATTAATTATCTCTCTCAGTTTCTCCGTCTGCATGCATTAGATAGATATTCACCACTGCTTATGACTGAGGTAGTAGCTGTGTGTGCGCCAGGCGGTAGCTTCAGTGAGCAAAACTCCCAGTGGTCCAGCAGCAACAGAACTAGATCCTTTCTCCACCAACGTTTGCGAAGCCAAGCTGCGCTTGCGCTTTCTTTCCGCGCAAGTTCGCATCCAAAACCTGGGAAGACATTCACACTCTCAGTAGCCTTGTGCATCTGGACATGCGTCAGAGCTGAGATTACAAGTCGGTATGTTGCAATGTCTTGATCCACTGCCTAACATGCCTTGTATGACCCTGATGTCGTAACCAGGCGGTAGTCCAAAGCATGTGAGCCGGAACAACTTCGCGCAGGCAGTTTTTCAAGATGTTCCAGTGGCCAGCTCTGCGCGTAAGTCTCCCATGTTGTGCTTCAAAGAATCATGCTTGCCAACGAATGGTACACTTGTTGCGAAATCAAGAGGTCATGCATCGCACCAGCTACAGCACCAGCTTCAACCGCCGCATTCAGCTGTCAAGCTGTCATTTCAGGCCTCCGGTCCGTGGGTTGCCCATGGCGGAGGTGCTGCACGTATTGGTGCGGCCTTAGAAGCGGAAATCACAAAGCCGCCAGACCTGTCGACCTCAAAGCCCGTAAACTCCAGACACCTCAGTCTCCAGATCCCTTTATTGACCTTTTTCAAGCAGACCCTCAGCCATCCCTGCGCTGACGCAGGGAAGGCCAACTTGAGACACTAAACGAGGTCGCCACAGTGCTGCTTCCACCTGGTGCAGATCCAGTGCTTGCAGGGTCCACCCCGGCTTATCCGGCAGCGATTCTGTTTGAGTAGGAACGAAGCTGGCGGCTTGGTGGGCTTTGACGAGCTGGCACGGCCTCAAGAGGCTGCAGCCACGATTGCGCTCTGGAAAACGCATGTGCTAGACAATGCGGGGTAGTGCGCAAGACGTGGAGAAACGTGTTGTGAGCCTTCCTCGTGGCGCAGCGCCGGGGCCGGCCACGGACTGCTTACTTCGAACCTGAGTTCCAGAACTCAGCCGTGCACAAGTGCATTCTTCTAGTCTGTGATTAAAGTAGCTCCCTATCGAACTTCGACTCTCTGGAAAATCTTGTCGTTTCAATGTCCGCTCCCGGAAAGCCTTCCGGCCAAATCGGCTTGGTTGTTGCCTATGAAGCACAAGATCTTCTAAAGTCGCAGTACGGAGTGCTCGAGACGGGCTCTTGCCACCGCTAGCGGTGGCCTCAGGCTTGGGTAGGAACAGGGGCTTTTGCACGATGATGTTGTTCAAGAGTGCTGAAACAGCAGACGACAACCTCCCCTAAAGCCGCGCTACATGTCTCAGCGGTAAAGGTAGATGCTCAGCGGAAGACGTTGAAAGTAAAGTTTGCCGAGCAGCTCCCGCCATGCCAGGTGCCATTAGCACACGCGGGCACACTGCTAACCTTGCCACAGTCTGCATCAGTGAAAAGAAAACAGAAAGAAGGCGGCGTTGCGGTATCATGATGCGGACAACCCTAAACATGCTCTTACAGGGACATGGACTCGCAAAAGTAGTTAGACCGCACTGGAATGCATCCAGTATCTCGAAACGGCTGCATCAACTCACGCTCGTGCTCAGCCATCAGCAGTCACCGCGGAGGCACGCGGGGAGGTGCGACATCCTGAAGCCAGTACTACATGCCCAATGCGCAGGCAGCTCCAGAGCTGACAGGCACGCCGAGCTGCGGACGGTTCCGTTTCATCCGAGAGGCTTCGGATTGAGCAGTAAAGGTCTGCAGCAACTCCATGTAAACGAAGCCCCGTAACTTTGATGGCAAGGGACTCGAGCTCTGCCCAGGCAAATACATGCTTCACCTTGAGAATGACATGTCATCGACATCGCACTATGTTTGGTCCTCCCCTGTTGAAAAACTGAACGAGCTCGCGCCAGTCGGGGCAGATACTATGCTACACTGCAGCCACCTGCTTTGAGACAACATGGTCTGGTCATGTCTGGTCACTTCAGGTGCACTAATTACTCAGCGCAAAAGTATGCACCGACAAAATAGGTCCCTGCATTGGCCGGTTGGCTCTTTGCGCCTTCTGTTGGGCTCTGGCTGTTCCAGTGCCTGCCAGCGGCGGTTGTTGGTGTGGCTGCTGCAAAGACGAGAGAGTTACAGTATATTATGCCGCGAGAAGAGTCTTGAAGAGTAACACTATAGAGTGGCAGGGGCGCTGTTCTGCCGGCGTGCCGGTGTAAAGACACTGGCACTCCACATGGCGGACACGTGGCGGATTGCAAAATGAATTCGAACGATCGGCATCAGGCCCTCCATGATTGGTTGAAGCCAACCGGACCTGAGCCCGCATTCTTGAAAGTTCTATTCTTGACCGAGAACTAGCACGGCTGACTCTCGGCTGTGTGAGTGGCGTCATAACATGCTAAAACACCAAGTGACTGCCAAAACCGGCTTGGTTCGGCTGAAAGTGCGGAGGGCACGGCATACTGGAAGCGTGTGGAAATTCAGCAGACACTGGCGGAGGAAGCCTGATGCAGTAGCATTGTTGCAGAGTCAACATGCCGTGAGCACCACTGCACGATTCAGAGGCTCGAGGCCGAATCCCCTTAGCCTTAGCCCCTGTCCGTCGTTCCTGGGGCTCGAACACCCTCAGAAGACTTACACCGGAATGCCATCTCTCTCGGCCTGCATCTCATGTTGAGTCCGTGTCCTGCCTCAAGTTTCGTATATTGCATTTCAGCCGTGAGACGTGACCATCTAACATATTGTTTCTGTCCCTGCAGGACGAGCGCAGATTGACTGCGCAATGATGTTAGGTGTGCACCACCACTTCTGAACCATTGGGTTACAGAGGTAGTTTGGACGGTACTGCAGCTTGACCCACTGTTGCAAGCCAACAAATGCAAAATGTAGTCCAAGGCACCTCTGTGGCACCTGTGGGGTAGGCCAGGAAGAACGCTCCGGCGGGATCGCATGTCGCTGTGCGGCATCATAGTTTTGATATGCCTCCCTGACTGCTTCTGCACCCAAGAAGTGTGGCATCCATTCAGGGGAATCCTCCTGCATAGCGGAAGCTCTGGGAGACAGCTGAAGGGAAGACGGAGAGCTCTGGCCACTCGGACCCCACGCACCTTGCGCCATGTAGCGGCCCGGGCTTCCAGTGGCAAAGTCTGGCGTTTCCCTCGGAGCTGTGGACAGGCGCTCGACCTGCCAGCTCCACGGGCTTCCGTTTGCTTGGGATGGCCACCTTCCGTTGTAGCCACCGTTGTAGCCGGAAAGTTTCGCACCAAAGTCAACTGGGTGTAAAGGTCGGAGTGCAGATCCTTGTGACTCATTTGATGCCGCCTGAGATAGCATGTTCTGCTCAAGCTCCTGGTCGGTTGGCGGCAGTGCCATGTATCTGTGTTGGCTAAGTTTTGCTTCCTCGTTTTTTCGCGAACGAGACAGCTGGCGCCTCCATGTCTTGGGGCATAGGCGACCACGGCGGAAAGCAACACACATGGCGACACATAGAAGCACGACCAGCAGCAAGATCAGCCAGAACCAAAGGTTCCCAAAGATTGTACCATGATCCGTTTCGAGCTCGGCCTTAGACGGCTCCGACTCGTGAGGGAGATTGTGACACAGCTGTGGCCCTGCAAGGGAATCCTCAACAAAGAAAGCTGTTGCGGACTTTCCCTGGAGACTGCAGATCTTGGTAGTGGTCAGATAGGAAAAGAAGCGGCAGCCCTGTGTTTCGGTACACTTTACCTGACAAGCTGTGGCTGTTTCGACCGCGGCGTGCTCAGCATTCAAATCTGGCGTAAACCGCGTCCCGAGAATGAAACATTCCGAACCTGGCACCACTGCAACCGCAACTTGCATCTCTGCACCCGGTCCTGTGTCGGATCTGAGTGCTGATAGCAACTTGCGCTGTGCTTCGCTCTCATGGGCAACCCGCTCTATGTCGTGAAGCTCACCACCAGGTGGTACATCCACAAAGCAGTGGACCAGGATCTCCCCTCCGCCCTGCGAGCTGAAGGAAAGGGAGACCTTGCCCGCATTGCCGCGCATGTCACGGATATCATGATCAGGTATCCCTGCATATTTGGCAAACTCAGCCGCCATCTCCAACTGCAGCAAATCCGTCTTGCCCTCCAAGCTGGAGGTCTCTCCGACATCTTCAAGTTTCAACTGCACTTGGGCCACACATTTTACAGGGCCAGAAATGAGACCCACGGATTCCCTCCAACTTGCTTCGATGTCCAACATCCGGCAGTTGCCGTCCGCATGACTGAAAGTGAAGAAAGCACATCCCGGCGTCGCACGGCAACGAGCCTGGCAGAATGTGAGATTCGGCTGGGCCGAAGCCAGACCGACACTGCCACCTACATATTCCGTGTCGCTGTACAGACATCTTGCAGAGCTTGCTTTCGGCTTTGGAACTTCTGCTGCCACGGCTGCATCGCCACCCGGTGGAGCAGCAGCTGTCTCAACCTTCTGTGCATGAGCTGCTGCGCCACCTGGTGGCTGATTCGCATTCTCTGGTGCGCAGCTGAAGAAGATGGAGGAAAACTCTTGCTTCGAAACCTTTTCGTCGCCGTTCGCATCTGCATACACGAAGGCCTCGTCTGGCGATGCCTTGTTCATGCCTGCCTCTGGGCGATAGCTTGACCAAAACGACGTCTTCCACCTCGTGTAATCTACAGGAGCAGCAAAGCCAAACTCCGCGCCACTCAA